GCTCACTGGGCCATTTATCTTGCCGCCCTTCAATTAACCAGGTTGGCACAATAAACTAACCACCTCACAGAGCATATAATTCTTTAAGTGGGGGGAGTGTAAGAGTTGGGGGCACCACCTTCAGATTTGCATACATCTAGATGGAAGATATGTTGAGGGGCAATGGCTTCACATTTTGATATTTTTGTTTTATAAAGGTTTCTATGGTTGTCTAGCAAGCCATTTAGACTTACCTTTGTATGACGGGCCCCACTGCATGTAGTAGGAGGTCATGGCATGGACTGTGAGCTGCTTGGCATGAGTGATCCACACCGTGTGTATTATAAGCCATATATATGCATGTAGTGTGAGCCCCATGATATTCACTATGTGCCTCACAGCATGTGCTATGAGCCTTATCTTGTGGCTCCAAGGACATTCAGGAAGGTACATGATGTCTCCAATGTGGAAAATCGTGTAGGTGGCTAAGCTAGGATTTAAACTCAGGTCTGTGTGGTCTTTTTTTTCCCTCTTCTTTTTTTTACAACGCATCTTGTCCCCATGTACCCAGCACATCTCAATTGTCATAGCAGACCAGCAGTACTGGATTTCTTCTTCACAAGTATGTCACAGTAGGGTGGACAAGAGCCTTTTAGGGTGCTCTGGAAGCACCCAGGTGCGAGGTGAATGAGTTGTAACCCCAAAGCCCTCGTAACGCCTCGCTTCTCTGAGGTTTTCAGAGGATAGCCACAGCTTAAGAAGGATGTTCCACCTCTAGGAAGGCGCAGCGGCAGACTCCACAAAATCCTGGACTTTGTCTTTGAGTGGAAAAATCAGGAGCTCTGCAAAGACAAGGGCACTGCAGACAGGGGAGGGTAAAAGGCAAGGGTCAGCGGTGAGGTAAGGGGGTAAAATTCAAGGCAGACTAGGAACCACGTTGAGGAGCTCAGATGGACAGCACTTTGAATGACTCTTACTGCCGTCGGGTCAATTCTGACTCATAACCCTGTAGGACAGGACAGGACTGCCCCCTGGGAGTGTCTGAAGTGATAACTCTTTACAGGAGGAGAAAGCCCTGTCTTTCTCCCTCAGAAGGGCTGGTGGTGTCGAACTGCTGACCTTGTGGTTAGCAGTCCAACTTGTCACCACGACTGCCAACCAGGGACCCATTTCGGAAAGTTGTGTTTCAGAACAAGTGGTGTGAAATGTATGGTAGGAAGATGACGCTTACTGTTGGGACAGAGGTGATTGGACTGGCAGCTGTTTCTCTTTAACACCGGACACTAGGATGGCAGCAACAAACTGTTGGTAGCTAGATTCAGGGACAAGGGGGGGTTGCCCCTCCCGTGCCTGCACAGGCCCTGTAGAGGAGGTGGGGAAGGAAATCAGGTGAGCATTAGATGCCAAGAGGACCCCTTAACTGAGCATGCGCCAATTCAAGCCCTTGAGTCAGGCGGGAGGTACGCCTGGACGGTCCAAACTAGGCCCAGACTTGTGACATCACCCAGGTGGGCTCAACCCAGCCAATGGGGTCAACCCATACCATCAACCACCCCTCCCCATCCAGAGGTTTGAAATCGCCCGCCTGAGAAGGCCGCCCCCTTTCACTCTGCTCCTGGTTAGTGGCAGGCAGGTCGGAGGGTGAGGTCTCCCTTCTGCGTGGGTGCACATGAACCCATGGGCCCTACTCGGAGCCCACAGCCGTTCCTCCTGTGCCTCTCAGCCCCCAGCGCTCGGTCGTGCTCCCCTCGTGCCTGCCGCAGCCTCCCTGGGCTCAGGTCCGCACGTGTGACACGGTCGCTGTGCCATGAGGTTGCTCGGCTCCAGATGTGAGTCCCAGCGCGGCTTCCACGCAGCTTGATACGCTTCCCTGGAATCGCGTGTCCCCTTTCGGAGATTGTAAAACCTGAAACTTCTCCCGTCCTTCATGAAAACCTCCTTGGATTACAAACCTGGCTTCGGCATGAATTCTTCCTTGTGTGAAGCCAAAAACCGAAGTATGACACACTCGAGAAACCGTAGGAAACCACTAAAAATTGGGCCACGGACACACCACAGGCATCTAACACGTCACTCACAATGGGACAAACACGGAACAACTCTATGTACGTCACCAGAGGAGAGGAGGCAAGTCTAGAGAGGATACTGTTTATTCGCGGTGACCAGGGCATGGGGTGGGGAGCAGGGAAGAGGAAGTAACGGTGAATGGAAAACGTGCATTCATGAAGAGGAGGGCTACCCAGCCATGATGATAAGTGCTTCCAATAAGTTACAGACCCGTAAAAAGTTGAATCAGCAGAAGTGGTATGATAGCTCTATTATGATGGTGACAGAAAACCACCCATGGATTTTGCTCTTGGGTTTGGGCGTTTAGGGTCCCCCCTCCCCAGGGACATCCCAGTTAATAGGCCTGGTATTGTGATTAGTGCTTCTGTTCCAGCTGTTGGTGGCACAGTGCCAGGGTGTTACAAGTTTGCAAGTGGTGATCCAAGGCACTGCTATAGATCTCTATCCACCTGGAGTAAAGGAAGGAGAGTCAAGACTAGGAAGTGGATATGGAAGGTGTGGCTAATTGTTTCCACGAATACTGCCTCCTTTGCCATGAGACCAGAAGAGCTGGATGGTACCCAGCTACCATCACTGAATGCTCACTGAAGAATCCCTCCCCAAGGGGGGCAAAAAGGCAAAGGCAGATAAGAATTTCAAAATCTCATGAACTTCAGATTTTTTTGGAACCCTGGAGGTTGGATGAATTCTTAAAATCATTGCTGAGCTAATTTTTAAACGTTCAACAAACAAATGTCTACCTTGAACATTGTGCTCTTTCCAGAACTATGTATATTTGAGCTGGAACGCTGCTCGGAGGGAGACAGCGGAGTCATGGGGCCGTCAGGGATGCTGGAATAAGGAGCTGGCTTTCTTCTCTCGTGGAAGAGTGATGCACTTGATTTGCTTTCTGGTTATAGTGTGCGGATGGCAGTGTGACTGCCACTGACATCCGCAGACTGAGAATGGATGGCTGGGTGGTATTATTGGTGGGACTAGAAGGACCGCCTCTTTGATAGGCTCCAAATTTAATTTCTGTATTGACAAGATAACCAGAGCATAGGCCCTAGCAAGCTCCCGGGATCATTGGCATGTGTTCTTTCCACTGAGCATTTTTCTCTTTGCTGTGAGGAAACCTAGCTAATCACAATGAATGGATGTATCCATCTTCAGATACAAGCTACTTTTACTGTGAAGAATTCCCATGAATAATGTGTAACTATTCAAGGTGTTCCCCTCCCTCCCCGCCCCTACTTATCCCCTTCCACAGATATGCACAGAGTGGGTTAGTAGTTACCTGACTGACTGAGGACGAAGAAAATTCACTAGGACATGGGTGTCTTAAGGAGTTTTACATGCAGTGTGAGCCTTGCCTCATCAAGCTTCTAAATGATCAGCACTTGGATCCCGAGTTTAGATGAGGGATTAGGCATTCAAACCGTTCACAGTGCAGAGAGCTCTCCTTCAAGTAAATTATCACAGGGAGGGGCCCGAAAGGGTATATTGGACGACCTCAGGCCCAGGAGTTCATGTCAAGAACGTCAAGCACATCAATGAAAGATACCAGGAGATAAACCACAGGGCTTCGCCATTAGTAGAGCGGGTCTCTACTACAGATACACAGTCACGTGAGGAGCTGAAAGGTCTCGGCCTTTATTGATGAGTGTTTTGTTCCTTTTCCCATTTGAAATAAGGGACCGGAGAAGTGTTATCGCTTGAACCAGTTCGCAGAGCGAGGTCTCTGGGGGAGGGAAGTTCAGGATATCAGCCTCTCCATCCTTGGGTTGATGAAGGAAAAGTTTCTGAACATGTTCTGGTCCATACTGTTGATGAGTGCCCTGTCGGCACATGATAGGCGGGGCTTCTCATTGAGGAATTCTTTGTCGAAATTGCTGCAGTCGTATGGTGATTTCTTGGTCGGAATTTAAGCGGGGTGGGGGGTGGGAAAAAAAGGGAAGAAAGTCAATCACTAAATTCATGATCATGAGGTTCACTCTGTAGGTTACAATCTGGGCCCCACGGTAAGTCAGTGGAAGAGACGTTTTCATTGAAAATAAAATAGCACGCCCAAATACACTAACTGGTAAGCATACTCACTGACAGGCATCTACAGCTTCTTTTTTTTTCCACACTCTACTTTTTATTGAGCTATTCATTATTACCCTAATTTTTACCTTCACAGCTCCATTTTCTTTCCTTTTTTAAAAAAAATCATTTTATTGGGGGTGCGTACAACTCTTATCACAATCCATCCATCCATCCATTGTGTCAAGCACTTTTGTACATTTGTTTCCCACCTTCTTCTCAAAACATTTGCTTTCTGCTTGAGCCCCTGGTATCAGCTCCTCATTTTCCCCCTCCCTCACCACTCCCCTTCACCCCTCATCTACAGCTTTTGATTGTATCGGCAGTTCCTGGCATTTTATCAGGGTTGGTGCTGCTGCGGCTGCTGTAAGCTGCCTGTTGTTAGGACCCTACTCACGGCAAGCCTTTCCACAACGGGAAAGGATTGCGGTGGGATCTGTTCATGATCCGGGGGCTTTCCTCAGGCTCCTTTTCAGAAGTAGATTGCCAGGCCTTTCTTCCTAGTCTGGAAGCTCTGCTGGATCCCGGTCGGCACCACACTACAGCCCCACTCAGCCCCCAGAGGCAGATGGGTGGTAGCTTTGCATGAGCTACGCTGGCCAGGAACCACCCCTGGGCCTCCGATACAGAAGGCGAGATTCTCCTAGGGAACCCCCCACCCCCCGACCCCACGTGTCCCTCCTCACTTTAGCAAGTCTATAATCGAATGCACGCAATGGGCTTCCATTTGATAGACACTCAAATATGATTGCACTTCTAGCTTGAAGCTCATCCATGAAGCCGGATCGGCAGCCTGCAAAACCTGGTGTGCTAGATTTGACTGCTGATCTTTTAGACTGTCGGGGGGCTTGGGAGGGGTTGGGGTGGGGCAAAGGGAAGAAAAGATAAGCCTGGGGGTTGCAGGTGACTTAACTCTTTAAAAACAAAAACATCCTTTGCAGCCACTGGCTCCCCTACCCACGCTCATCTTATTACCCAACACGTGGGGCTGCCTTTCACGGAAGGCACAGGCTGGGCTGGCTCCCGTCAGCTCACGGGCCCATTGGTCCCCATGAGAAGAAAAAGACCGCAGATACTTATTTTTAAATACTTTCAGCACAATCCACTCAACAGAAGAGGGTTGGTTTTTTCTTTTTCTTTCAGGGGGAGGGGGGGGTGGTTTATGTAGCTTGGTTTCTGTGGGTACAACTCGGCTTCCTAAGATGAAGAGCCACCATTATCAAAACCACCCATGGTTGTTGAGTCCTTTCTAACTCATAGCGACCCTATCGAGGAGCACAGCTGAGGGTCAGGACCTTTCCACCCTCAAACAGGCCCCTGGGCTGGTGGGCTCAATGGCCCGGACTCTGCCCACAAATGATGACCTCAGACAAACAGGTGAGGGAAAGCCCTTCGAGTGCATCCAGAGATGCCTCAGAGGTAAGGCCTGGCAATTACTTCTCAAAAATCAGCCGTGAAAACCCTCTAGAGCCCAGTTCTACTCTGGTACACCGGGGGTGAGGGGGTTGGGGGGGGGCATGAGTGGGGAGTTGACTTGTCAATGGCTGCTTAGAGAAGGGCATTCTTCTGAGGGCTGCGCTGGTGTGTGCGCGGACCCTGGAGGGCAGGGATGGCAGGGAGGCGAGGATTGGGCGAAGAACTAGCGTGTAGTTACTGGCACAGGCATCCAGTAAAGCGAGCGTGAGTGGAGAGAACTGGTCTCCAGAAGGGGTCTTACCACTTTAGGCCTGAAAGGTGGTTCAATCTCTTTTCTTTCAAGTTCTTCCCAGTTGATCTCCCGAAACAGAGGATGCTGGCGGATGTCTCCCCTCACGCCCAGCCTCTTCTCAGGTTCCCTCACAAAGAGCTGAAAAGCAGAAAGGGAGCCGCTGACTTGGGGGTGTCTCCGTCTCAGGGTGTGTGCCACTTGCAGCTGACTGTGAAGGGCTACACCTCGGACTTGGGGGTCTTACATTGGAAGCTCTGACCACTTGCTTTCCTTGTCTTGTTTATCTACCGACCTCTAGAAAGGACTCACTAGAGTCAAATGCTCTCCCAGAACAAGCCTCATTGAATATGCCTAAGCTGGGGCGTTTGTTTCCTTCCTCTGTGCACCAGGAGCCAGCTTTCTTTCGCGATACATAGACATGGTTTGGAATCTTGGCTTTGCTACGTAAGTCACTGCAGGGAAGTTACAGAGCCCTCTGAGTCAGTTTCCTATCTGTTCAGTGAGCCCAGGATCACAGACTGAGAACACACACATACACACATACCCAACACATGCACACGCCGCCGTACACACACCACGTAGGTGCACACAGGAGCGCATACATGCCTTCTGGAGCAGTTGGTGGTTTGAAACTGCCGACCTTGCAGCTAGAAGCTCAAGGAGTTCTGTGCGGCCATCGCCACAAAATTACTCAGGAACGACTGGTGTCAGGCAGTTAAAGGAGGAGGGACCGTGAGGCTTATCCCACCCCTGCCTCCTGGCAATAGGGAAGCCGGGGGAGGTCAGATATGTCTGCCTCCATCGCCATTCACGTGTGCACCATGTACACATATAACACATGAAACACACGCACCACACATGCCACAGACCACCCACACAGACCACATACAGCCCAAATACATTTGTACACCATCTCTAGTCTGTCAACCCCAACAACAAAGAGTTAGTGATCAACGTATTTCTTTGATCGCCCATCAAATACGAGTTTTGCCTGTTTTAGGCTGACTAGCCTTCGAGGGACCCAGCTCTAAGGGAAACCTGATTGGGGGCATAACACAAACCAGCTTCGGGCAGTCAGCTTTCTGTTTAAAAAAAAAAAGACTGAACATCCAGAATCACTCTGGACTTGCGCAAACCTGCTGGCTAAGTCATATTTAATTCAAAGGCCATCTTTATCATCTCTGAGCTGTATGTATTATTGTTTTCTTTGCACTGCCCCTTCTGCTGCTCTCCCTCACGGGATCAAAACGAGCATTTACAAGGACAGAAAAGAAACTTTGAAACTCCTCAAATTTAAATAAAACATGTCAAGGGCATTAAGGAACAGGCCAGTCTAAACATTAGGCCTGGGAAAATAACAAGTCCCCTGGGTGTCTGGCATAGTGATTCATGATCCTTCTATCAGAGAGAGGCTTATTTATAATGTAACCAGTGTTATAAGGTGTTTTAAGCGACGATGGATCTTTAAAACAGAAAACATAAAACGCAATGGGTTTTCCAAAGGTCCTGGCAAAGCATTGACATCCATTTACACCTAAATTGCAGGAATCTCTTTCTTTGAACTCTTATTCAAATAACCTAGTTAACTGTTTGAAAACACGCCGTTGTTTATCTTATTATTTGAAAATCTTCAAAGGCTCTCTCTACAAAAATAAATAAGTAAAAGCAAAGGCCCGAAAGCATACTCTTGGGTGCTGATTTGCAAAGTAGAGATTTCTTTTATTTCTTTACGGCGAAGAAGAGCTCAGGCCACCATCTGGTCTCTCCAACGGGTTGGCCAGGAAGGTCCTGCCAGCCTTGGCTCCTGGCTCCTCACTGACAACGGGCACTCCATAAGGGCTCTCAAGGGGATACAGAGCAGCTGGTTAGAATCCACTGCACCGTGGAAATGACACTAGTTGGCCGCCCAAGATTCTTAGTACCCACGTGGCCTTGGGCACGTTTTCTGTCTCCATCGCCTTGTTTGTAGAATGAAGCCTCAGACAAGATGATCTCTGCGGCTCCTGAGGCTCGAATGTCCTCGGAGCCCCGCTGAGGACTTTCTTGTGTGATGCTGACCCTGTGCCCTTGGGTTCCCAAAGTCGCCCTCTCTTCCATCGCACATGTCTACACACGGAACATACTGCATGCCTTTCCTGCCCTCTGGCAATTGCATCATGTGAGGATGACCTCTCCTCACATTCTACCACATCTTTTCTTCTCCTCAGCCGTAGCTCCTGCCCCACTTTTCAGCTCACACCCTGTCTTCTTTGGGAAGCTTTGGCTACCTCAGCTCTCTCTCCTCTTAAGCCAAATGCATGGTCATATGATCCATTATGTCATTCATCCCAATACATGTTCTTGGAGAGTCAGTCACCGTGCTAGAGTGGAGACCCAAAGCCCATCAGTAGACAATTGCACATCCCTTACAGAAGGGTCACAAGGAAGAGATGAGCCAGTGAGGGTGCAGTATAGCACTGATGAAACATGCAACTTTCCTGTAGTTTTTTAATGCGTCCTCCCCCCACTATCATGACTTTAATTCTACCATACAAATTTGACCAGACCAGAACATGTGCACTGCTACAGATAAGAGCCCGCAATCCAGGGAATCCAGGACAGATAAACCCCTCAGGACCAATAATGAGAGTAGTGATACCAGGAGGGTAAGGGTAAGGTGTGGGGAGAAAGGGGGAATCTATCACAATGATCAGCATATACCCCCCACTCCAGGGGGACAAACAACAGAAAAGTGGGTGAAGGGAGACAGGTCTAACATTAGCTAAGGTTACATAATAAATGCCTCAGTGTATTAGAAGTAACTGCCTTGGGCCAAGTGTACACTGCCCTAGGTTTTCCATTCACCTTTTCAACAAATACATGTTATTTGTATCCTGCGATTATGATAAAGAAGCTTCAGGGTCTCTCTCATGTTTACATGCATTCTTGTGAAATTAAAGAAATAATTATTTAAAAAATAAGATGTATAAGGTACAGATAATATCGATCTCCAGTTTCCATACTCAAGATCCTTTGTGGCCTCGTAGGGAGCCTCAGACCAGCCATTCCCAGGCAAGGATGCTGCACGGAACAAATCAATGTCCATAAAGAAAAGAACTGCTTGGTCCATAAAAGCTGTCAGGAGGATTGCTTACATTGATAGGAAATAGCACAGCCCTTCCATCAATGGCCAGGATCCGGATGGAGTTTATTTAAACGTATTCAGCTGTCTGGGCACGATAGCCCTTCCAGGCTGCCGAGGATTGCAACGAGCCCTTAGCACCTGTCACTGGTGACAGGCTCTACCTGGAATCTTCTCTCTCTCTTTCTCCCATCCCCACTTCCATCTTTCTATAAATGGAAGAGCCATTTGTGCTCGGGATCCTTAGTTTTCCATCTTTCCAAACAAATGGACAGGCTCTCCTGGGTGATGAAGTGAGGAAGAAACGAGAGTTTATTTGGCAGCAGTCACCTGGACAGCTGTGTCCCTGTTGTAATTCCTCCTGGGTCACAGCTTCCTCTGATGCGCAGTGTCCATTTCACCGTACGCATCAATGTCCCATGAAGGCACAAGAGACAGAGTCTGGTACTGCTGCTGCTGGAACGGAAACCATGAGATGCTCCCTTGCCCAACTCTCTTAGGGAACTTGTCACTCCTGGGTTCCAACCCTTCTGTGAAATTCCTTTGACTAAGTTTTCAAGAGTATTGCCTTCGATTTTGACAGAAAAGGGAACTCAAAAGACGAAGGGACTGTTGGCGCATAGCTGCCATGCAAATAGGGAGCAGAGATAAAACTAGCAACCAGTCTTATAGTCAGCAAGTTACATAGTTGACACTAATTTTTAACAACTCAATGCTAGAATTCTTACGAGAACTACCTTCTCCAAGGATAAGGAACATGGAATGATTACTAACTTGTCAGAAATGATACGCTCAATCCTTTCTAGGTGGGAAGGGGTTCTTTCATCAACTAGTGCCTTCGTTCAGATGCAAAAGATGCCAAAAATGCAAAACCGAACCAGACTAGCATGTTCATGGAATGGGAACAATTGCAGGTTGAAGCCTAGGAATGGGGGAGCAGGAACATGGGTAGTGAACTCTTTCCGGAGCCTGTGGTAGAAGACCGGACTATTGCCAAGACTGTAGAGCATGGCACACATTCAAACGATTATTTCCAACTCTGCTGACCAGGAGGCTCGGCTGCTACGTAACAGATACGCTGCTCTTGTTTTCTTAGCGAAAGATGAAGTTCCTAGCAAGGCATCCATTGGTAATTTGTCTCATTCTGGTTATCATTTTGGTCCATCCACATGGTACTAATTTGTTCCAGTTTCACTTTGCCAGCTCCCCTCAATTCTCTCAGTTTTCAGCCTAATATATATACATATATATAAAATATGTAATTATATAAAATATTATATGTTATATAATATTGTATAATAGAATACATTAATAATATATTATTATATATTAATATATATATATAATTTTGCAGTACATCTTTCTCCTGCCACTGAAATCCTGTTGGTGGTTTCTGTTGTTATTGCATGACATTTAGTCTTAGATTTTTTTTTTTAATTTTCTTTTTGAAACACAAGTAATGATAGAATCAGAAAGTTGCAGTGATAGTCTAGAGGGAGGTCCTCTGGGACCTCCATCCAGTTTCCCCCAATTTTTACATTTGACAGATGTGAAATGTCAAAACCAAGAAAATGAAATTAATACAACATGTGTGTATAGTTCTATGGTGTTCTACCGCAGGGGTAGATCATGTCACCACCGCCGCTATGAGAGATCGCCGCCACAATCGCCCTTCTGCCATGCGCCGTCTAGCAACCCCTTGACCACGACCGGCAGCCGCTCCTCTGTTTTCCATCTGTCTAATGTTGTCATTTCACTGCTGTTGTGCATTGTTAGCTGCCTTCCAGTCCATCCCCGTTCCTGGAGATCCCTGGGGGCAGAATAGAACTCCTGGGCTTTCAAGGCTGTCACCATTTGGAAGCAAATCAGCAAGCCTGTTTTCTGAGGTTCCTCTGAGTGGCTTTGAACTGCCAACCTTTAGCCAGCTGTCAAACACTTAGCCATTTGTGTCACCCAGGGACTCCATCGTTTCAGTCATGCTACATAAATGGACTCCTGGCACGTGACCTTTGGAGATGGGCGTTTTGCACTCAGTGTATGGTGAGCGGTTTGATGGACATGAGTGGTATGATGCCTTCAGACTTCCTTTCTCTATGGGGCTGATTTCCACACCCGTGGCTTTTCACCTTCCTTGAAAGAAATAATTTCCTGTTCCATTGTCTTTTCTCTCCTTCGAAGTCCTCGCTCCCCATTTGTTTCCTTGGAAGTATCCCAGATGAACTCCACCTGGTTTCCGCCAGTCCTGGCCCACAGCCATTCCAGAGCCCCAGGGAGAGCTGGCTTTGGGAAGCTCAGTCCGAAGGAGGGTTCTGTGTTGTAAGGGTGAGCTGCAACTGTGGCTCCAGGGCTCCCATCCTGTGCCTCACCTGGAGGTAGCACCTGAGACTGGCCCCTACCCTGTGACTCACCTGGAGATAGCACCTGAGACTGCAAGGGCCCTCCCTCTGCTAGTACAGACTGACCTCCCGCTTCCTCTCTTTTCTCTGTTGAGCTTGCTGCCCTCACCCGTCTCAGTATAGCCCTCACCTCGGGTCCTTCAGAAAGGCAAGGGTTAACAAAAGGAAGTCATTGTAATCATGTTCGCACTTGCCTTTCTGCAAAGGGAGATGACATGCATTCGAATCCCACTAACATTTCTTACTGCTATGTTTGAAAACTGTCTTGTTAATTTTGAAGTGAGCATTCATTTGGTCCGTTTGGGTTAGTCAGTAGAAGTGAATTTAGTGGGTCGTTCAGGGAGTTTTCTAAGTGTATTGGTTATTTGGATCACATTCAGAAAGCAAAAGCGGAACCTTAACAGACTCAAATTCTTGACATTTTGATTCTCCGAGGATCTTGTTAGAATGTAGGCTGATTCAGTCTATCTGGGATGGACATGCAATTTCCCCCGCAAGGGCTTGAACCTCCACCAGCCAGTTAGAAGCTCTGTTTTAAATACCATGTACCATTAATCTTGGGCTAAGTGTCCTTTGAGGGCTTTGCCAGCTCTTCTCAGATTGGAGATCTTCATTCCCGAGGGAGAGTTCTGGAGTTGCCTCCAAATTTCTAAGAAAAAAATCCCTTCAAAACTCACTGCGATGGAGTCGATGATGACTCAGAGTGGTGACCCGATCGGGCAGGGTAGAAGTGCCCCTGTGAGACTCTGAGACGGTCACTCTTTACGGAAGAAGCAGTAAGCCCTCTTGTCAGGTGCATCGGAGAGGTAGAAGTGTATGTGCTTGAAATTCAATTTCAAGTTTCAAGTTAAAATGAAATTAAAGTTAAATTTTCTCATGAGCAAAAAAATGTGCACTAGTGAGAAAAGGTTGGACCTGGTCATATTTCTCTAAGCTTAGATGTAGAACTCCTTGTGGTGACTGTTGGGTGCCATTTGGTGCTGACTCATGGATCAAAGGGCTGTTGTTCAAACAGAGCAAAGGAACACGACATGGTTTCAAACCAGGAAAAGTGGGCTTCAGGATTGTGTCCTCTCTCCATCCATATTCCATCTGCATGCTGAGCAAATCATCTGAAAAGCTGTCCTAGATGAGGATGGCACTACATCAGGATTGAGGGAAGGCTTATTAACAGCCTGGGATGGACAGGTGCCACAACTTTGCCTGCAGAAAGTGAGGAGGAGTAGAACCATTGCTGATGAAGATCAAGGAGTCAAGCCTCCCGTATAGATTACAACTCAATGCAAAGAAAATCAGAAGGCTCACAACTGGGCTAGTAGGGAACAGCATGATCAGCAGAGAAAAGATTGAAGGTGTCAAGGATTTTGTCTTGCTCGGATCAAGATTCACAGAAGCAGCGGTCAAGTGATCACATAACGCATTGGATTGGGTAAATCCGCTGCATGCGATCTCTTTAAAGGCGGATGTGTCTGACCCAGCCATGGTGTTTTCAATTGCTTTATAATAAAGCTGGACACTGAGTAAGGAAGACTGCGAAAGAAGCCATGTATTAGAACACGGTGCCGGGGAAGAATCTGGAAAGTACTAAGGACTGCCGAGAGAACAACCAACCCGTCTAAGAAGGAAGTACAGCCAGAAGGCTCCTTAGAAGTGACAATGGTGAGAATTCCTCTCAAGTATGTTGGACATGTTATCAAGAAAAAATTGTCCCCGGGAACAGGACATCCTCTCTGGTCAAGTGGAAAGGCAGTGAAAAAGGCAAACCTTCAAGGGATGGATTGATACCGTGACTGTCAACATTGAGCGAATACGTCTCAAGGATGGGGCAGCACCTCGCCAGGGTCTCTGTGAGTCAGCTTGGACTCAACTGCCCCCCCCCCCCAACATAGTCACAGTCAAGGAACTAGTCCCTTCGGAGGGGCTCGAATTACATGAGATACAGGCTCACAGTCCTCACTTCTAAGGCTGTCCTTCCAAGAATCCCATGGGACTGGAGCCCGTGGTCCTTCGAGTAGTCTTTGCCAGTACCTGCAGATACACAGACTTTTCTGCGGTCCTTCTTAGTCATGGCCCACTTCACATGGACAAGGCATTTGGAAAGACTTTGGCTTGGGTCAGGTGCCCCTTAGTCCCCAAACGACACCTTTTCTCCCTTTAGAACTGCCCAGTTCAAAAGAGGCCCAGTGTAAAGGGGTCTTCCCAGTGCAAAACACTGTCTGATTTCTTGAACATTGCTTCTCTACGTGTTAATTATGAATCCAACTAAATTGAAATAGTTTACAACGTGAATCTTTTCTACATTTATCACTGTTAAAGTCCACTGATGGCTTCTAATATCAAAATAGCTCATCTGATTTCCAGTCTCAATATGCTTAAGATAAACCCCTGCCACTGTATGGATTCTGGCTCATAGCTACGCTCTAGGACAGGGTAGAGCTGCTCCATAGAGGTTCTGAGACTGTGGATCTGTCCAGAAGCAAACTGCCTCATCTTTCTCTTGCAGAAGGGCTGGTGGCTTTGAACCTCTGACCCTTGGATTAACAGCCGAGTTCTTTAACCACTGTACTACTGGGGCTTCTATATACAGTAAAAGCAAAGCTAAAAATGGTTTCCTTAGTGATCTAAGGATCCCTGGTAGGCAAAAGTTAGACTAGTACCTGCAAGCATGGTGGTTCAAATCCACCAGCAGCAACAAGGGATAAAGTTGAGGCTTTCTGTCCCTGTACAGATTACTAGTCTCAGAAACCCCCATGGCTGTGGGTTTTTTGGTTTAATGATTTTTCTAGCCCGCTGAAATAGGAAACACAAGACATCCACACACTGAATTTTGTCAAAAACCCCACACCCTTTAGCTTTGTTAAGTCTCTCGATCACACCAGTGGATTCCCTTATTTGTAATGATAAACAGCTCAGTTTATCATTACTGTCGTTGCTATATCTCTGTAGTCTGTTGTTTGGTGCGATTCTCATTTTTAAACTTCTGCACGTGGAAGAAAGCCTGGTGGTGCATTGATCCAGCATCTGCCTAGTAACTGAGAAGTTGGTGGTTTGAAACCACCCAGGGGTTTCCCGGGAGAACACCCTAGTCTTAGCTCTCCATAAGGGGTAGAGCTAAGAAACTCTAAGGACAGTTGTACTCTGCCACAGGGGTGGCTATGAGCCCAAACAGAAATGCACACAGTACCCATTAGCAGCAGTCCCTGTGCACTAGGACTCCACATAAGTCCACACCTTTAGTGACAGCCCTTTGCCGTTCCTTCCCTCCCTGCGCTGGTTGGCCCTGGGAACTCTTGCTTCATAGCTTGTGAGTCAATGCCCCGTGTGGGTCTGTGCTACTGTACACTGGCTCTTAGTGGAATGCTGGGCCCTCATGGGCTGGGGTCTGTCTCCCGTGAGTCCTGTAGGGAGCTGCTGCGATGGTAACAGTTGGCGCTCTCTGCTTTTCAGGGTGAAGGATGCATTTGTCTGTCCATTGGACAAGAGGCAGGAGAGAGAGGGCGCCTTCGATCTGAAACCTTTGTCCGTCCTGTTGGGTAGCGAGTGAAACCATAAGGTGGCGTGTGGGGGTTAGAGTGTGGGTAGAGGAAACAGTCAGGCTACTGGATGGGTTGGTTGAATAATAGCTGTCTCAAGAGACTCAGGCCAAGATGTCCTCTGTGGTGGGCACTGCCCAAGAACCCGTGGAAGAGCCTCAGAGAAGACTCAGGTGCAAGCATCTGCCAGACTGGATGGAAGCAGTCAGCCCCGCTACAACCACACTCCTGTCCCCGCCGTTGACCAGCGCTCACCATGGGCTGTGGCAGGAGAAAGGGCACAGAAGCCTCCCCTGTCACGTTTGACTGATGCCACAATGAATGCCTTGCACTGGACCCTTTTCAGACTTGAGACGGGGCCTGGTGACCACAGGTTTGACTTCTACTGCAGAGGGCGCAGAAATGACTCCCAAGTGAATTCCATGACCAAAGGCTTTTTTGTTTTTATTTTTAGTAGGAAACAACCAACAACTAAGTTGTAAGCCCCAAGTTGTGTTTGAACAATATACCAACTACAGCTCAATGTGAGGGCAGCTAGGAATCATGGGACCCGGTTCTTGGGAACATCTTAGATCAATGATACCCATCAGGCCTTCTCTCATACTCCCTTAGAGAGGTAATGTCCACCATATTGATAACCTCCCTTAAAGCAGAGACCCCTCCCTCAACTCCCATTGGATATCATTAACCCCTCCCTCAACTCCCATTGGATATCATTAACCCCTCCCTCAACTCCCATTGGATATCACTAATGTTTCCCGCGTATAAAGCAGAATCTAGAGATGGATGGGAATACGCAGAGGAAACAACACCGACTTGACCTTATGGCTTGCCTTCTTACCTTCACTAAAATGTCCCGGGCTTCCTTGTCCAGCCATCTCGGGTAGAAGGGATTGTCCATGCGGATGGAGTGGAAGAGCTCTTCTTCATCTTGCCCATGGAACGGTGACTGGCCCATGAGCATTTCGTACAGGAGGACGCCAAAGGACCACCAGTCGACAGAATGGCTGTATTTCTGCCCCAGCAGGATCTGTGGGACCAGAGGCAGAGACGGGGGAGTGATACGGACTCGTGCCTTTCTCAGGGTCACTCAGAAAGAAGGGGCCGGGATGGGAACATGCGGTTTTCACAAAGATCACACCGAGAACTAGGTCCTTGCACAAACTCACCAAGGGAAAGAAATGAGCAGACAAGGGCAAAACAGAGTCACTATTTTTGAGTTCTAAATTTTACCTCTCCTCCTATTAAGAAGGAGCCCCGATGGTGTAGTGGTTATGTGTTGGGGCTGCTAACAATAAGATCAGCAGTTCAAAACCACCAGCCTCTCCTCGGGAGAGGAGTTTTTTACTCCTGGGAAGACTTACAGTCTCAGGAACTCACAGGGACAGTTCTACCCTGTCCTACAGGGTCGTTATGAATCAGCATTGATTTAATGCAGCAGTTCTCAACCTGGGGTTCTGACCCCTTTGGGGGTCGAGTGAGCCTTTCACAGGGGTCGCCCGACTTGTAAGAGTAGCAAAATGACAGTGATGAAGTAGCAACGACAATAATTTTATGGTTGGGGGTCACCACCACATGAGGCACTGTATTAACGGGTGGCGGCAAGAGGAAGGATGAGAACCACTGATTGAATGGAAGGCAGCTTGGTTTGGTTTTCTGATATTAAGTTACACCCTGAGTGGCTAACTACAAGGTCAGTGGTTTGAACCCATCCGTCGCTCCACAGCAGCATAAAGATTTGAAGTCTCAGAAACCCAAAGGAGCAGCTCTGCTCTTGTCCTATAGGGTCCCCTTGAATCGTTTCTGACTTAGGGGCAGGGAGTTTGTGTTTTCGTTCCTGGCATTAAGGAAAACCACTGAACTGTGTTCACTTAGCCTTCATCCCTGTGACATGAGGGTTTGGGGATGGGCACGTATCTAATGTCTCAGTGCCTCTGATGTGACCATCTAATCAACAGCAACCACAAAACCTCCTGCCATGGAGTCAGAGCCGAACTGTGCTTCCCTGGGGGAGTCGGCCAACTGTGCAGGCCTTTTTTCTGGGAGCCAAGGACTAGTCCAGCCGCTGTATTATATTGACCTTGACTGTGCCGACACGTGGCGTGTGGTTCCTCTAGGTAATCAAACAGCCAGCATGATCATCTGACCAAGCCCCTTCCTTGCAGCCTAAACGACTCAGGGGCATTCGAGTTAGAAGTCCCAGCAGCAGTCAGCATCACAAGCCCGGAAGAGGAGGAAGTCTCATTTTTGTGAAAATAAAGAGCTGGCTGCCGACCCAACTCAGGTGCAGGGAATCTTCCACTGATTCCCCTTATAAAAATGCCACCCACTCGCCTTGACTTTTAAAGTTAACTTGAACATTTAGGAAATACATACATTTCATGTTAAGGAATCAGCTGAAAGCAGACCCGGGTAGAAGAATAAGGAACGTAAAAACGCACCAAAGCCATACTCGGTCTTCATCCAACATGCCAAACGGGGCCAGATTCACATGCAATCCCCGCAAATGGCCACAAGGTGGAGCCCAAAACAACCAGAAATTGCTCTGAGCATTGCATCTTTGTCTACAGCTTCATTTGACAGGACAGATGAAAGGACGTGTGGACAGGAGACAGCTGTGTTTAAAATTAAGCCTTTTAGGCTAGGTGATGTTAATAAAAAAATTGAGTCTTAAGTCATGAGGAATAGAAAAAATTCAAATGAACACTTCATTACCAGCGAGCAGAACAGACTAGCTGTTTAATGAGTACCGCTGTGGGAGGTGCTGCTTTGTGTGTCCTCCGGCTCTCTCGATGCATGCTCTCTCTCATTTAATGACACCTGAGATAGTTACACGGAGCCCTGGGGGCTAGTGGGTTAAGCGCTGGGATGCTAAGGGCAAGGTCAGCAGCTTGAACCACCAGTTCTTGCGAGTGAGAAAGACGAGACTTTCTGCTCCGGTCAAGATGGATAGCCGCTGTCGTTGGAAGTGTCCGAGTTGCTAATCAGCTCGATGGCTGTGAGTTTGGTTTGCTTTGCAGTTAGGTACAAGGAGGCCTGATGACTCAGGGAGCACCGTGTTAGGTGCTAACTGGAAGGTCAATGGTTCAAACCCCCCAGCGAAGGAGAAAGACGAGATGACTGGTTCCACTTCAGAAGCCCCGGGGAGTTGCTGTGGGACGCAGGGCTGCGATGAACCGGACTCCAGGACAGTGAGTGTTTGGGGTTTTGAGGTCGATGGTGTTGTCCCTCTTGTATCGAGGAGGACAATGGGGCGGAGGGAAGTTGCACACCTTAGTTAAATAGGTCTCCTAGAGCCCTAGGGGCGTTCTTGGGTGAGCGTTGGAGGTGAACGGCCAGGCTGGTGGTTCAAACCCACCAGGTGTTCTGCAGGAGCAAGAGGAGGCTGTCTGAGCTCATCAAAATAGTCAGCCTCCAAATCCCCTTATAGCAGTGGTTCTCAACCTGTAAGTTGCGACCCCTTTGGGGGTCGACCGACCCTTTCACAGGGGTTGCCTAAAACCAGTGGAAAACATAAATATTTCACAATCTATAATTACATGTTGTTTTGTGATGAATCATGATGCTTTAATTGTTAAATTATGTTCCAGTTGTTACAATGAAAATACATCCTGCATATCAGATAGTTACATGATGATTCAAAACAGTAGCAAAAAGACAGTGATGAAGTAGCAACGAAAATAATGTTATGGTTGGGAGTCACCACCACATGAGGGACTATATGGAAGGGCCTTGGCATGAGGAAGGTTGAGACGCATGACTTTATAGAGTCCCTGAGTCGGCATCAACGCGATGGCAGTGGGGTTTGGGTACAATGACCAAGAATAATGGGCGTGGCTGGGTGGACCTGACGCCCTTTGAATTATGCTGCAATGGTACTGTGCCCAAAGAGCCAACAGTGCCGCCTTGGAAGAACACAGCCAAGTGCTCCTTCGAAGGGAGAATGGAGAGACTGTCCATCTCCCACTCTGTCACACTGTCGGTGCCAGACAGAGATCATGCTTGGTAAAGTAGCATGTCTGTGACAAAGAGGGAGATCCTCATCCAGAAGAGTGGACAGTCGCTGCAGCGATGGGAGACATAGAGCAATGACCGTGGGGATGATACGAGGACCAGGCAGTGTCTCATGTTCTTGCCCCTAAAAAATCAGACTCCCTGCCAGCGAGTTGATGCTGACTCATAGCGACCCTCTGTGGGTTTCCAAGACTACAACTACTTACGGGAGTAGAAAGCCCAGTCTTTCTCCCTGCTGGTGGTTTGGAACTGCTGACCTTTAGGATTCCAGCTCAACATGTAACCACTATGCCATTAGGGCTCCCAGGGTAGCTATCGATTAGACGGGACTTGAAGGCACCTACCAATAATGATATTCCGGCCTTCAGCCTGCGCTCGTCAGGAACGGAGGCTTCTTGGACATTTCGTAGCATCAATAGGTTTGTATATTCAAAAGGTAAATCTGCGATGGGTTTGTACATTAGGAAGGTAAGAATGATGATTAGGTAAGAATGATGATTTGGCAAGACGGTGGCTTTCAACACAGTACACGCACCCTCAGAGTGAGTCGGACCATCTCAGGAGATGTGAGGAGAGCTTGTATTTATGTTCATATTTAGCAGTCTACCAGGGAGAGAATGGGGTGCAGGTGACATTGGGACCCTCGTTCCTACAGCGAGACAGGAAAGGGGACGTCCTTCAGAAGGAGCCTGGCGGTGGCTGCGCCTGAGAGGGAAGTGGCTGAGGAAGGTCTTTCTTTCGAGGGGGCCTCGTCGGGAATGACAGCAGTAGAGGTCTGGCTCAGAGGCTGTGTTGAGAATGGCGACTCAGGGGGAGTCAATGGTTGAATGGAGACTCCTCTCCGTGGACTTCCTCGCTTGTATCTTAATTAGCTTTGGCGTCCCTTCAAGCTGGAAAGGGCGTCAGGCATCCCTCCCCATGTTTGTGCTGGCTGGAAGGAAGCATAGATTTCTAATATCCCCAAGTTATTAAATCAATGAGCCGAGCTTCGGGGAGCTCAACAACTGCTTAGAAGTGGAAAGTCATAATTTCTTCTTGAACAGAGGCCAACCTTGCACTTAAACAAGGTTGCATTAAAATTAAATACCACATAATCACAGGGCAAAACCACAGATTTCTTTGACTTGTGCGGCCATAATGACTGTGGCCACGATAGGGGTTTGCTGCTAAGTTGGTTCCACCCAGGACATCAGAGCTCTATCTTTATCTAACTACCATCACTCACTCACTCACATCACTCACTCTTCCAGAATGGTTAGGAGCATCTCTTCTTTTCCGAAGTCCTTTGGCTTCCTTTGACGATACAGGCGAGTAAGATTATGCAATTAGGCACAAGTGATAAAATGGCCAAGAACTAGACACACACCTGGTATCAATGTCAGTGTCCATTTCCTAGCTTTGGACTTGAAACACACTTATGTATGGAGCTGGGTGGAGGGTATGCATCTATAATTATTTGAAAACAGCATGTTAATAAAAGTCAGAAACAGTCTCTGACTTTAAAGCTACCATCACGCAAAGCTGTTCTCAGTTGACACAGAATTCTGACTCTTGTCCCACTGCCAACCTTCCCTCTAGTCCTCCAGTGCTTCTGGATTTGTGACAAACCCTCCCCAAACCAGAACCAAAACAAAACCAAATTCACTGCCACCGAGTTGGTGGGTTTCTGAGACTGCAAATGCTTGCAGCA